CCCCCCCCCCCCCCCCCCCCCGTGGCAGAATCGTGGCGACATTGTCGGAGAACGTTACAGAGTTTTTGCAGAAAGATTTTTCCTTTAGGAAATAAAATATTTTGGTCTTTTCTGCTGAAATTTTCTTTCTATTTTTTATGTAGTTATTACTATTGATTTCCACAAAATTTTTAACATCCTATGTTTTAATACGATATTGTTTATTACAATAACTGAATTTCAAAATGAAAACATACATTTAGTAACCCCTTTTCGTAGAATCCGACTCGCATGATTTTGCCGTTAATCTTTTCTTTTGGTAGTTACTGCAACGGATTTCAGGATTTTTTTTAAAAATGTGATGATGATTTACAAAATGCAAAAAGGGAAATAATTAGTGTGTTTTTCCCTACAAAACGTGAGAATATTGGATATAGTATTAGAATAGAAAAAAATATTACACATTCAAATAAAAAAGTTTTATTTTATTTGAACTGAAAAATTTTTTTAAAATTCTTTTTATTAGTATTAGAGAGACATGTTGCAGAGAGAGAACCCAAAAAATTCTGCCACGGGGAGCTTAACTTCTTTTACGTGTCAAACATTTTAAATCGAAGTTGTGCGAAATAAAACACATATCTGTATGAATAGACATTATGCTTTTGATTTCTTGTATTTTAATGACCATTACATTAAAAATATATTTCATTAGTTAAAACTACAAAAATAATTATTTTATTTAAATAATACTAAGTAAAAATGCAGATGATTTTATTAACAAAAAAGCAAGCTGCCGTGATCGATAATTTTAAATGTAATTCTCGTTATTAAATTTACCATAATTTAGAATTTTCACTGTTGAGCATGTGGTGTATTTTGATTCATTATAGTTGCCAGGAAGTGAAAAATGCTAAACTTATTTATTGATGAGTTCATGTAATGCATTCTAATGAGATTATCTTATTATGCTTTCTAATTTTTTGTAGTATGTCCTGAGGGTTATTATGGAGACCACTGCATGCAACCTTGTGAATGCAAAGGTGAAAATTATGTTTGTAATCCATCTTCCGGATGTGTTTGCAAGTATGGTTATGGTGGCAAAGATTGTGAGCTAAGTAAGTAAAAATATTTTGTTTACTTTTTTTTAAAAAATTAAATCTAAAATAACAAAATATTTTTGTTTGCAGGTGCAGTAGTTTTACTTTTCTTTACTCATTTTTTAAAAGTTATTGAGTTAGTAAACATATTTTTCCTTTTAATTTAAAACTTCTATAAAACTTGCTCCCCTCAAAAAAGCTATGAATAATAATAAAAATTTTACTATGTGAAGATAATGCCTTATATGTAACATCATTTTATTTTACTTTATAACATCTTTATAAACTATTTACATATTATTTCATTTTAAGCACATTTTTCTCAAACTGGATTATATTTCTAATGCAAGTAAAGAAAAAAAAAATTTTATTTGTTGGTGGGAAATATAATTTTTAATCAAAGTATGTTAAATTTTTTTCTTACGTTAATTTTTATTTGAACAATTTATGTGTAATTCACATTCTTCATAGTTTCTTAATTTTTTTAGAATTTCAATATGTTTCAATATCTTTATTGATTTAGGTTTTTTTTTAAACCTAGATTAATTATTATTTTCTTCAAAACAATTGTAAAACATTAAAATAAACCTAAAAACTCCCAATTTACAATGATCTTAATATTGCGTTTTTTATCCCATGTAATATAATGTTTTTTTGAAAATTGTTACAAAATTAATTAAAATTAATCAAATTTTTTTAATAATTTTATTGAATTTCATTGAAATGAATGGATATTCTTTTAGGATTGATGGGACAAAGTGTTCAGAAAATGGAGGATGACACTTCATCGACGAGTGCAGGTGTTGTCGGAGGCGTTACATTGGCCATTGTCTTATTGATTGTCATTGTCTTGTTAATATTGTATTACAGGAGACGTCTAAAGAGACTAAAAGATGAATTAGCATATGTCACGTAAGTATCTTGAATTATTACAATAAACTAAATTTATTCTGAAATCTCATTTTAAATGGCTTACAAAAGGACATGGTTAAATTTCTAGCTTAGAATCAGCATTGTTTATAACAATTTGTGTAATATGTTATAATGGGAATTTTTATGATGACTAATAAAATCTTAAATAACTAATAAGTGCAGAATAGCACTGATTATGTAATAAATGAATAAGTTTAAAAAACAAGTGTACAATTCTGTGGGCCTTGGCTAGCTGAACAAAGTTGTTCCAAACTTTCCTGTTCTTAGCTTTGGATTTCCAGTTGGTAATTTTCATTACGGTTAGATTTTTTGTTATATCATCTAATCATCTCTTTTTGAGTCTTGAGTTCATTGGTTTCCAATTTAAGATATTTCTCAGTTCCATCTTTACTAAAATTTTTTTCACATTTTTACATATTTATTACCTACATCAGGGATGGCGAACCAATGGCACGCGTGCCATCTATGGCACCCGACACAATATTTTGGGCACTCCACCGATCACATTTGTTATTACACAAATGGTATTACACTATGAAGCATATGTAACAATTAAATTAAAATTCACAAAAACACACAAAATAATAAACAATTATTAATAAAAAATTGACAATGCTAAAAAAAAAAACAATTTATAACTATAAAAAACTAGCTAAAAATAAATAACTAGCAAAAAAAATTAACAATCCTGCTTAAACCAACATCTTACAACCTAATATAAGTTATTTGTCATCTAATCTGTAGCAACAGAAGTCACGCTGATGTTACTTTAAGTTGAATTACGCGTATAACTGAGACATTGCAAAATGTTTTTTTTTTTTTTTAATGTGAATAGAGAGTTTTGAGTTGATAGTATTTAGTATTATTATTTTCCCAATAATCACGAAGTCAAAATTATTTGACGGCACATCTATGACCTCATCAAACAGTTTTTTAGAAAAAATGGCACATTGGTGTATAAAGGTTCGCCACCCCTGACCTACATATATACCACTTTTTGTCTACCAGGTAAAAATAAATCTGTGACACCCATCTCTGTGCCCGCTTTATTTCTGCTATTGATGTAATAGTAAATAATCATTTGTACTAATATAAACTTTTTATTTTTGTCTAGTTGATAAATTTATAAACTGAAGCAAATGTATCAACAATATAGGTAGCTAAATGTGAATTATTTAATGTATATTAAAATAGTATGTCTTTGATTTATTTTACTACTTTTACATAACTTTTTAGGTTTTCCGAAGATAACATATTGAATTAAGATATTGTACTTTCAATAATATTTTGTTTATTCTTAATTAACATTATGTCAGAAAAAGATCTGAAAATTTCATTATAACTATTCATTTTACAATCTTACTTGTTTTTAAATATATTTAAAAAAATAAAATTAAAAAATTGATTTTTTTAAACTTTTTTTCAGATATGCTGCTGATCCTAATCCATCACCAGGTAATTTTAAATTTTGCAGTTATAAGAGTTTAATTATTTTTAATCTTAATTTCATCAAAATACTTTCAGTTTTCTAACACAAAGCATATGTTTAGCAATAACATTCAAGCAAGTGCGGAACTTTTTAAATGCACTTACTCAAAAACTGATATGACAAGAAATGTTTAATATTTTTGAAATTATGAGAGATACATTATTGTTATTTGAATGAATATTAAAAGATGCGATAAATTTTTTAACTAGTGTTAATTTTATGAATGATGTAATCTGGCTTGTTATTAACAATATTTTGCAAATTTTCAATAATTGATACTTGTATACACAATGAGTTGAAAAATAATAAATGAATAACAAAATTTGCTAAAAAGATATTACTTTTCGCTAAAAAGACATTACTTCCCTCTAATAAATTTTACTTTTCAAATGAAACACACATTGAAGAAACTTGTCAATGTCTTAGTTGAAAAACAGGACATGTCACATCGAATTGAACAGTTTTTTTTTCTTCAGTTTTATGAATATGATATGGTTATAAATAAAAAAAAGAATGATTATAGCTATATTGTTCATTCTATAAATATTAATAAATTTAAACTTCATATCATTTAAATAAATTTTTTTAATATAATGTAGAGCTCTTAGTTTACATGACATGAATAAAGATAAAAATGTTACAAGAATCATATATGGTAAAGATGACAAAAACTTTAAATACTAAAAATTAGATTTAAAAACTAAAAATATGCATGTTTATGTAAATCTAATTTTATACATTAATAAAATTGCTCAATGTTTGCTATATATTTTTAATTGTTTATTTTTAGATCGCAGGCATTTTGATAATCCTGTTTATGCATACCAAGGAGTTCCAGCTGGAGGTTCTGCTCTCAATAACACTAACACAAAGCATATTTATAATGATTTAGGAATGAAAAGTAATTTAACAAAGGCCAAATTAGGAGAAGAAGATTTAGATCATTATTCCTCTGCCGAAAAAGGTTAGTATTTACAAATTATCATTATTATAATCAGTTCTTACCTGAGAATAATTTAGATTTGGTACATGACTGTTTCAGTTCTTTTTTTTTCCTTATTTTAAAGCAGCTGTTTAAAATCTTTTTTAAGATTTGGTTAGAGTTTTACTTAAATTTACTCTTTATAAATTTAGTATTTATCTCTTTACAATATATCCATAATCTCAAAATGCAATCAGTAACAATTCTCTTTGTTCTGTTTCTTCCTTTATTCCCTTTCTGTTTTTGTGTCAGACATAGTTTATCTCACCATCTAATATCACCTAAAATATGTAAGATCAACTAATATTTTCCATTGAGTTTGGTGCAGTACAGTTATATTTACTAAGTATGCCTTATCATCTCTTATAATAGAAATATTTTATTTTTATATTTTAAACCGTCGTTAAACAGCCAACCCAATTTTTGGGTTTACGACTACTAATGTTTAGGGCTGCAGGTTTGTCGCGGCGCGAATTTCTGCGAAATCGTCATCTTTTTTCCTAAAATCCGCGAATTTCTCAATATGTCTTGACTTGCGCGAAAATTGCTTAAAATATGATTTTTTTTTATTTATTATTTTTATTAAACAGAATTTTTTATTTTCCTGAACCTTAAATTAAACATGTAAAATTGATTAGATATTTAAGGGAGTGAATCAATAGCAAAATGACATGGAAATAGTTCAGAGATAAGAGATAATCACAATCTTGTCAACTAAGTTGGTCTTTCTACACTTAAGGAGGGTAATTACCTTCCATAAATCAGTAAGAGTACAAAAGAAATTGGAATCACAAAAGAAGGAAAATGTTATAAATCAAATCTTTGACAGAAAAATTGTTATACATGCTATTGCACTGGGCAATGAAATTTCTACTGCCTTTCTACATATCCAGTTAATTTTTCCTAGGCGGCTTCTTGTGATTTCTTAAATATGGATCAGTTTCTTAGATGAGGGAGGGGGGGCTAGTAGTTTGAATATAGAATGTTTGAGTTTTCACTGCAATTACTTCTTACAAAGCAACGGTCAAGGGATATGCATTGGTGAAGGAAAATTGATCGAGTTTTGGAAATCAAAGACCGAACGCTCCAAAATTGGCAATTCGAAGTTTGTCGGTGCCTAAAAACAGCGTTGACGCAGAAAGATCGTTTTCTAAGTATAAAAAAGTATTAAGTGATGGAAGACGAAGGATAAATGAGAATAATCTGACAATGTACAATACTTTGAACCAAAATTCTGTTCTTTTAAATAAAAATATTAATATTGCTTGAAATTCAAAGAAATACTTTTGTTGTGTATTTTTAAGCTTTTTTAATTATTTGTGCAATTTCTGTCTTTTGCATCATTTTTATAATAAATTTTTTTTATGTTTAGAATTTGTGTAATTTTCAAAATTTCCCGCGATTTTTCCGTGAATTTAGGGTCTTTTTTCCCGCGACAAACTTGCAGCCCTACTAATGTTCAACTCGGTAGCCTTGTAATTTTGAACCCAATCCAGAAGACAAGGGAACTCCTGGATCAAGTATGGGGAGACATTTGCTTTCGTGGAGGACTTTTTGATGTAACTAACCCGCATTTGCATTGCATGGAGAGGAAGACCACGAGAACCTCCCATGGTTAGCCTGACAAGGGACTCTAACCCATGATGAACCCTGAGGATATTTCACGTCAGCACTGTGGTCGGGACAAGCCGGATGCAGATTCGTATCGACCAGCCATCGGTGGGAGTCGAACCCGGCTTCACCTCATTGGATAGCGAACACTCTATCCCCTGAGGCATCACAGCTCTAATAGAAATATTGTTTAATTTCATTTAAAAATATTAAAATGCAGATGTGTTTGCCTCAATGCACTTACTCAGAGCTACAGCTACTCAGGGAATAGAGTGCTTGCTTCCTAATGAGGTGGCCCAGGTTCTATGAATTCCAGCAATAGCTGGTCGATTCGAATGTTTCCACTGACCACAGTGCTGATGTAAAATATCATCAGTGTTGAACGGATTACGGGCTAGAATCCTCGTATCATCAGGCTAAACTGTATGAAGCTTTCATAGTTTTTTTCTCCATGTAAATATAACTTGATTCCATCAAATAAGTATTCCATGAAGGCTAGTTTGTCCCAATGTTTTATGCAGGAGTTCCCTTGTCTTTGGGATTGGGTTCAAAATTTAAAGGTTATAGAGTTGAACATTGATAGCAGTAAACCCAAAGTTGAGTGACCTATTCAACCCTGGTTATAAAATAAAAATATGGTTAGACAAATGCATTAGTGGGATCCCAGTATGTTAAGACCTTTTTTTTAAATATAAATCCCGTAATAAACTTCTTTTTTTTTTAAAAAAGGGATTTTTTTTTTTAAAAAAATACATCCTTTATCAGTTTTGTTTACAATTTTGATATTTGACACAATAAAATTGTAAAACTTGAGAGTTAGCGTGCTGATCTTTTTACAATTTATGGCCTCAGAGATTAAAAAATACACATTTTTTCTACCACCAAATTATGTGAGTCTATTTTATTACTAAGTAACTAAAAGTAAATTGGGGTTTGTTTGTTTTGAAAATTTTTTAGAAAATTCTAGATTCTAATCTTTGAAGAAAATTCAAATATTGGTTGGACTACAAAACAGCGAAGTTTCTCTTAAATAATCATTATGTTTGTTTCTACCTATTTTCCTTCTGCACTAATTTACTTTGCTTGTCATCATGTTTAATTTCTTCAATGATTAAAATATTAAAGGCAATTAATAAGATCTGTGCTGAAAAATTCCCTTTATTTCTAGGTGCTTGTGGAGGAGAATATAGTGAAGTGTCGTGTTTAAAATCTAAAGTAGATTTAGAATTTAATCCAAATATTTACCACAGTATTGATGATGTGAAGCCAAATTTATCTAAAAAGGAACCCTTTTACGATGAAGTAAAAGACAAAAACTGTGATGGTAATTAGTATTTGAAATATCTTCCTTGTTCTTCATTATTCAGTTTTATAACTGATAATTATTGTTTTAAAGTTAAGCTATGGTATACAGTTTTAAAAATTTATCCTTTATATTACCATTTTCTCTTGAATGATAATGATATAACATATTATATAAAATATACTTACAAATGAAAATTTAAATTTTTATGTCATGATTTATAAATAAAAAGCCTATTTGTCATTTCACAACTCTGTAATGCTTTTTTTATTTACAGCAAAACATAGAGTATATTTCAGTATATTATTTACTGTGGTTTTATACAGTACTAGGTGATGTGATATTGAAATTTTAATATCGCTACATATTCAATCGCCAGTCGATACAAATATTTCACTATGTATTATATGTTATTTTTCCAAGTTATTTCATTTACAGTGTATTTACATAGGTAAATATTTTTGTTTTGAAATGAATGTTGTTATAATAGTTAAAGTTGATGGCGATTGCAATGTTATCGTAATAGATTTTTGTATCATTGCTATTGATGCTAATTAATTGCTCCTAATAATTATTTGATATCTATTGTATACTATGGTATTCACGATACATTTTGAAAATGATTTTTAAAATACTGTTATCACTGTATAAAAAAGGAAAGAAAAAATTATCTCGCAATGTATCACACAGTTCTTGAGACACTTTTTTATTATGATTAACATGGGTACAATTTTAATTCTTTTTCATTATTGTATCATCCATATTGATGCTAATTAAGACATTGCTACTAATAATTTGTCTATAATTCTTATCTATTGTAAGCTATGATCTAGCTACATCTTGAAAATGATTTTTTAAATACTGTAATCACTGTATTTAAAAAAAAAGAGAAAAAAATTATCTCTCAATGTATCAAACATATACTCTTGCTAATGGCATTGTTGTCTGTTACAGCTAAAGCTTGTGCAAGTGCTGATGTAGACGTATACGACCACTTGGAGTACAATCGGCCAACCAACGACATCAAACCGCAGTATCATCGGATGGAGGACACGCTAAAAAAAGGTCAAAGTGCAAAGGACCTCTAACTCTGTCACTTTATCAAATACTTCNTGTATACTATGGTATTCAGGATACATTTTGAAAATGATTTTTAAAGTACTGTTATCACTGTATAAAAAAGGAGAGAAAAATTATCTGCAATGTATCACACAGCTCTTGAGACACTTTTTTATTACAATTAACATGGGTACAGTTTTAATTCTTTTTCATTCTTGTATCATCCATATTGATGCTAATTAAGACATTGCTACTAATAATTGTTCTATAATTCTTATCCATTGTAAGCTATGGTCTAGCTGCATCTTGAAAATGATTTTTAAAATACTGTAATCACTGTATTTAAAAAAAGAGAAAAAAATTATCTCTCAATGTATCAAACATATACTCTTGCTAATGGCATTGTTGTCTGTTACAGCTAAAGCTTGTGCAAGTGCTGATGTAGACGTATACGACCACTTGGAGTACAATCGGCCAACCAATGACATCAAACCGCAGTATCATCGGATGGAGGACACGCTAAAAAAAGGTCAAAGTGCAAAGGACCTCTAACTCTGTCACTTTATCAAATACTTCCTTAGATTTTCAGTGAGCTTATAACACCCATTTTTAAATCTCAACAAAAAAAAATCACTTGTGACGATTGAGAAGGAGTGGAAATGATAGTTATAGTACTGCTCTCTAGTTTTCAACTGAATGAATTGTTTTAGATGTAGTTATTGTGTTTTATTCTGTATAATTTTTGACTTTTAATGATGGATTTGTGAATTGTTTTTATCGAAATCGGTGACACACAGCTCTTGGGGATGCCAATTACTACAGCATTTCCGTAATTTCTATTGGTTTTAAAAATAAAAAAGCATTAAGTTTTGAAAACTCAAAGTGAAATGTAACCCAAGTTAAACATTTTATTATTTTTCTGTTACTTATTTTCCATAAATAGTTTTAGCTCAATTTATTGATTTGGAAATGACTATTTTCTGGTATGATTGCATTTCCTGTAACTTAATTTAAGTAAATAATTAATATCTAAACTTATTAATTTTGTTAATGTAAGAATTTGATTACTATTTTCACATGTAATTACATAATTTTCCTTGTTATATTTTTAATATTTTATTACCTGTAAATAGTTGAAACTTATTAGTTTGGAAATGTTAGGATAATATTTTCTGCACAAGTTTATACATAAATTTATTTATTTAGAAGTATCAGAGTTTATGATGATCATTTTCTTGTATGAGTACATAATTTTCCCTGTTATTTTTTCAATTATTATAATTATTTTTTCAATTTAAATATTAAATTTCAATTATTTATTTCCTGTAAATAGTTTTTACCAAATCTTGGATTAATTTGGAATTCTCATGTGTTTATCTTTACTATTTTTCGACATGATTTACCCCTTCACTTTAGTACAATATTTAGTCAAAATTAACAGAAAAATATAAAATTAATGAATTTATATCTGAAAGTTTAAAACTTCACTAACATTCGACTTCTTTTTTAATGTGTTTATCGCAAATTGGTAGTAAACAAAAAATTTTACTACACAATTGAATAAAGTATTTGGCCTAACTGAGCCCATTGTTATTTAGGAGTTGTAAGTTAGGTGTCAGTTGTTATTAGAAGTATTTCTTTTAAAGAAGCTATTCAAAGCTAGCAATAAACCATGTTTATAGTTAGTTAGCCCATGTTCTTACTTCTGGTAGATTGAAAAAGGTGAAATAATCCATATTTTTCTGCTAACCTCTACATGGATCGTTAACATTTTCCAGTTTTTAAAGTTCCTATCACTTGTGTTCTACTATAACAGCAATAATTTTAGTCTTAATGCATTTGACTTCTCTTTAAGCACGATTTCAGCGCTTTATGAGGCGTCCATAATAACGTGTTAATTTAAGTATTAAATTTTAATTGAATTGTGGAAAAGTATCTGCAGAATGGCATCCCATATATGAAGTATCCTTTATGACTGTAAACAATCAAACATTACCACAAAGTTTAGAGGATTTGAAATATATCGCTATGAAAATGTTACGCCTTTTCATCAGCAATGCTTGCTAATAACAGAGAGGAATTAGAGTAGTTTAATAAATTTATCGAGCAAATATTTCTAGGAAGTTTAGATTGTTTGGAATTTAGATATCACAAGCTATATAAATAGTTGAAATTGAGAGAAACAAAGTTTAGGGTAACTATATATTACATAATCAAACAAGAAATTGTAAATAACTGTATTTGCTTCCAGAAATATCTATATCAGAAGATTGTATTTTTTATCTCTTTACTCAAATTTTTAAAAGTTTGTATGATTTGTTTTATTTACTGTACAGTTTGTGTTAATATACTGTTTGACAAGTTTATATAATGATTTGAATACTAGTTATAAATAATTTAGTATTCTTGAAATGAAATAATTTCCTGCTGTCAATTTAATTACTATTCAGTGTAATAAAATTGACCTTCACTTTTAATCCTTGACTTTTATTCAAAATCAGGTGATGATTAAATATTAAAAATAAAAAAAAAACGCATTGATATAATCAGAAACACTGCCAAAAATTCCAAATAGGAGCATTTAAGACGTATAAGGCATTTACCACTTAAATTTTTCCTTTGTAATAAAAATTAAATACTGAGTTAATTAGTTTGTGAAACTATCAATTTTATTTAATCAATAATGTAGTGTATGTGTTTAACATTGGATATAAAATTAGATCTTTACAACGCAAACTTTGAAACACTGGGCATTGCATTTTATAGAATTTTTTGTTGTAAACAGTTTCAATTATTTTTACATATATCTACTAAACATGGCAATATTAGTCTCAGATCTAACTTAAAATGTTTTAAATTGATAAGTATTTATTGATTACAGAAAGTATTTACAGAAAAAAAATGAAATTTTCTAAATAACTAGAAAATTAATCAATTTTAATTTGTTTAACTTTTAAAATTGTAACCTCTTAGCAAATAATTGAACAAATAATGTAAAAAGTGAATAGTCCTTTTTTAGTTACAGAAATTTTTTTACTACGATAATCATCGTTTACCCTGTATAAATTAATTTAATTTATGGAGAATCATGATTTATGGAATTGTGTTATATACGACTTCTACTGTATTATTGACGTTACAATGCATTACTGAAATATTATTATTAATTTAATTAGTTGAATCACCATTTAAAATTCATGCATTCACAAAAACACCTAATTCACAAGAGCAACTCACAAAAACACCATAAAACTTTAAATATCTAACCACTAACAAATGTTCATTATAAATTCTTAAAGTTTAGTTGTAAGGAGTAAATATTGTTTAATTTTTTTCTTTCTGTACTACAAATGTCAGTTGGATTTTATTACTTATATTTTTGATTTGTTTTTATTAAATAAACTCTAAATATCTTTTCTAATTCCTAGAATAAAGTGGTATTAAGACTCAAAAACATTAATTTAGTTTCTTTAAAATATGCCATCTGAAATTATTGTAAAGAGTTTATCTATCATTATTAAGTCAAGAGAAAAAACACCTGATCAAGTGTTTTGTTTCTCTTTCAGTATGATTTAACAGGATATGATTGGCACAATAGCCCAGGGTGGGCCTTGGCTTTCCCTAAAAAAAAATTTCCTTGCAGTTCTCTTTGCTGCCAGTTCGATTATTTAATAATTTCGAAATCTGTGTTATTAGAGAATGTATGTTTGTGATGGTATAGTTAAGAAGCACTTCATGTTTTTGTGCCTTCTTTTTTATTTTATATTATTAAGTATGAAAAACTTTTTTTGTTGCCTAAGGTGTTCAGAAGTGTTCATTCTAAAGACATGGCTCTCTAATCTCTAACACATGTATTTGTTACAGATATGCTCAGTATTGCAGCTCGTTTTGTTCGATTCAGTCCGTCAGAGTGAAAATATCTTAAATGCAATAGTTTATAAACATTTTGTAATATTCACTCCTTTACAATATACTGAATGCAATAATTTAAATATTCATGTTTCATATTTACCATTTATAAAGCATATCTCACATATTCACTTTTAAAAATAAACAAGTGTATCTATCAATACCTACTAGTTAAGGTGTATCCTAATTGTAATTGTGTATATGAGCTCCCCATTTTCATAAATGTAAACAATAAAAATTAAGGGTTCTTGAAGGGGCTTGTACACAGTTGCAGTTTTCAAAAATATTGCAATTGACTATCATATGAAGGTTGTTATTGCACTATCATTGAGCTTTTTAGTATGTGTTTAAGATTTAGAAATGTCGACCGTATGTGTTTTGTTTATTAGTTACTTTCTCTCAACTTTGTATATATCTGTATATGTTTTATTTTTTTAATGACATTTAATGTTGAAATGAAGTTTACCAGTTTGGCTGGCTAGTTGCATATAGTTTAAATATCTACATCTGTAAATTATAGATGGTAACGTTTATGTTTCAGAAATTTTTCAGAAAACACCTGCCAAACTTTTTATTATCATTTCGACATAGTGGGCAACTATGCAAAAGAATTTAATTTATGAATATATCTTTCTTTCTTTTTTACCATAATGGCATTTTGCAGTTTTATATTGGTTTTAAAATTTTATTGCTATTTATTAGGTATATTAATTATTCATTCTTTTAGAAATTTGTTCAAATGTATTGCTTTTCGTCAAAACTTTTTATCAAATTGAATTTGAGATTTAAACAGCTGGCTATGTTTTAAATATTTATTGTAACATTCAGTTAAAATTATGATGTAATATATTTGTTTGCAATTTCATAATAAACAAATAAAGCACTTTGTTTTCTGTTAATTATTTTGTTAATGGTCTTACACTAACGCAATGGCTGTAAGTAATTTGAAAATATCTCATTATAGTTTTATAATATGTTATATTTTATAAATCTAATATCAAAACTTTCTTTGACTTAAAGGCTTTCTTTAACTTAAAGGACCTTGCTTTTAACTTACTTAAGTCATAATTGAGATTTTTTTTTGACTTCTTAATTTCTTTACTTCCAAGTCCATAGAGCTCTGGTTGCCAATCAATTTTTATGAGATTTTATTTTAATTGAACGTTGATGATTAAATTTTGTTATTTACATAGTATCCGCTACATTTTAGATTTTCAGTTTCATTACTTTCCATGACTAATTCAAAGAATTTTTCATGACTTAATGAAGTTACTGTTTTTTCCAACAAAAACACAATAGTAAATTTAAAAAAGCATTATAATAACGTTAATTGAAATGACAGGTATAACCAAAGCTGTTATATTCTGCATATTAATATTTATAGATTTTTAATTTAGAAAACTGAGTGAAGAAAGAGTTGAAGCAATAAAATAGCTGAAAAAATACAAAAGCAAATAATTTTTTTTCTGCAAAATTATATTCTAAAGATGCTTTTCTTATTCATCGGAAAGGAAAGAAATACTCCTGATTTTTCTGTTCTCATTTCAGAATAAATAAAAAAAATAATAATAAAAAATTCTGAAATCACAGAATTCAATTCTGAATCAAATTTAAATCTTAAAGTTTTTGTGTTTTGTTTATTTTTTATTTTGAGTATTTTTATTTTAATGCATTTTTCAAATTTTAAAACATATTAAGTAGAATATGTATTAATTGTTAGTTAGCTAAGGAAAAAAAAATAAAAATTTTGAAATAGTTAGTTTTTGACAGGAACTTTTTTAAGTACTTTAAAATGGTTAAAAGTCGTTTAATTCAATATAAAAAAAAATGTTAATGGTTAAAAAAACTTCCCTTGGTTTTCCCGCAAGATTTTATTTTTATATTTAATCTGGTGGCAAAATTTTTCAAATCACATTTTCTTCTTTTGAATTATTACCATGATTTTAAAAATATCCTTTGTTGCGATTTTGATTAATTTTTGTCTTTTTAGTAATTATCTTTACAATGGAAGGGATATCTTTCAAGTTGGAAAGATAATTCACTCTAAAAATGTTTTTTTCGTTCTTTTTTTTTTTGAAAGAACACCATGATAAAAACATTTTATAATTTAATAAAATATGACTGTGAGTGGGAATTTTGTTACAAATTCAGATATCGATTTTAAAAATTAGGTTTTTCAGCGACCTAAATCCATGACTTTCCATGATTTTTTAGATAAAATCGTGACATTTCATGGCAAATTTTGTTCAATATCGAAATTCATGATTTTGTATGACTTTCCAGGTGTGCGGATATCCTGTATTTATAATTGCTTTTTGTGGTTGCAAAAATGAAAGACATTATTTTAATTTTTTAAAAAAAAATGAACTGTGAAAGATAAAAAAAAAAAAAAATCTTGAAAATTGTTTCACACTTTTATGATAAACTAGCAATTTCAATTTTCTCCCTGACATCAATTTCATTATTGTTCACAGTTTAAATATAATATTTTAAGCATTCAAATTTAATTGTTTACTTTTGTTAGAAAAAAAAAGACAACCATCTTAAAAAATTGAAGGGAACAACTGTGTGAAGAAAGTGTCAAAACTTAAGTTTGAAAAGCGAAAATGGGAAAGTTTTTCTTTAAAGATTTATTTATATACTTTTTATTTAGTCGGATTTAAGAAATTGCTATCAGTAACATTAACTAGATCGTAAATTGTTTAACAGAAAAGAATATCCAATAAGTTTGGAAATTATTCGAACTATAAAATCAAAAAAGTATTTTGCATTAAGGAAGCTAATATTTTATAATAATATTTATAACCGTCGTTAAACAGCCAACCCAATTTTTGGGTTTACGACTACTAATGTTCAACTCAGCAGCCTTGTAATTTTGAACCCAATCCAGAAGACAACGGAACTCTTGGATTAAGTATCGGGAGAAGTTAGCCTTCGTGGAGGACTTCTTGATGGAACTAACTTGCATTTGCGTTACATGGAGAGGAATACCACAACAACCTCCCACGGTCAGCCTGAAGGCAAAAGGACTCTAACGCATGATCCATCTGCCACTGAGGATATTTCACGTAGGTGCAAGCCGGGTGCGGATTTGTATCGACAGCCAGCGCTGGGATTCGAACCCGATTCACCTCCAAGATTCGAACGCTCTATCCCCTGAGAAATCGCGGCTCAAGGAAGCTAACAGATAAATTTTCTTTTTAAGTATTAGGAAGCACTGTATCTTGTTCGCTATCACTTGTCAGAAGCCATATAATACCTTTGGCTAAGTGCTGAAAACAACAATAGCCCTTAACTGCTTCGATCATTGATTCCAGGTCAGAAACTCTGATTAGTTTAGAATATATCGATTAAATACCCAGTAAATGCAGAAAGTTCCACCATTGCATTACATTCGTTTGTGAAGGATGTGCATCGTCATGCAACATGATTGGGGAATTGAAAGCAATTAACCTGGATATTTCCTGTGCAGGTCTTGAGTTTAAACATAGTTGCAGTAGCCAGCAGTCTAATGACATTAATTTGTTACTTAGAAGTGCGCAGTCAACCTGCACGATTCAAATCTGCAGTCTCATTTCAACGCACATAAAGAAATCGAATTGATACTTCTCGAGACAAACCCATGTTGTATTATTAACTAAGGTTTCATGTAATACTTGATAAGAAACAAAATGGCTTTAATGCAGGATTGTTGATCTGTTTTTGTAAATATTATTTAGAGTGGTAGAAATAATACCAACCACTGTAACACTTGGACATCAAATACTCCTTAACAGAATAAACCGTTTTATGAACCATCTCACTGCCAAAAGAATATACGTAGTAGAAGGCTAGCTGCCATAGACATAACGTAAACTAGTTCTCCAAGGTTTGGTGAGGTTTCTATGTGTAAAGGAAAAAACAATAAAGCGCATAGCAAGATATTCTTGAAACTAGTTTGCACCCTCCTCTCCTCCCAACCACTACTGATGTTAAGGAAAAGAATTGTTGATTTGTTCTGCATTTTTACGCAATTGATAGACACTATTAAGATATTTCTTGGAGAATAAATTTCTATCATACACGTTGATTAAATCTGCTAACACATTTTGATATAGAAAGAAAGAATAAAATGACAGGCAACATACTCAACCATACATGTAGGGTTGTGGCATAACTACCACTATTTATTAATATTAAAAACCAATTCACTAGTATATAAAATAAACATGTTAACTTATCTTCGGGTACCTTTTGATAGAAGATGATGGACATAGTCGATTATTAAATCCCCTTAGGTTTGTCCAGCA